CCAGGCTTAAAGTTGCCAAGGTTGGACACCCCTGCTTTAGATTGTACCAGCGTGGAGAGGACAGCTCTTCCTTGCCCTACCTTCAAAGGTGAGGGAGATGCTAATCCTGGGTGCTAATGAAATAAAGTCTGGGAATTGGGGGGGGGGGCTCTGCTCCTCGAAGAACCTCCTCCAGGATTGCAGCTGCCTGCCCTCCACAACTAGGCGTGCAGGGGCAAAAAACCCCACCGTCCTTATCTTGGCTCCAACACAGAAAGGTTTGGGGGAAGAAGAAGGCTTCCCCGGCTGCCACAGAGCCCACAGGTGTGCCATCGAGATAACTTAAGCGCGCTGCTCTTCGAAGAGTGATCCTGCAGCCTGCGGGCAGTCAAGAAGTGCCGGTCCCGAGGCAGAATAGGTATTTCCCCTCGATCTTGGCCAAGAGGCTAAGGAACCCTGGACGTGCCAGCTGGAGGAGGGGGGAAGTCCTTCAGAAACCTCCTGCAGAGGTCAAGAGGTGGTTCCTGGTCAAAGGTCACCACCGCACCTTAAGAGCGAGAGCGGCCTGAGGCCAATAGATCTGGGGGGCTTTGGGAATTCCTGCCTGGGAACCTTCACAAACGGGAACAATAATGTCTTACAACTGACAGTTCTTCCTCTGCCGATTCCAGCTGGGCTTATTCACCCACTTTTCAAAACAAGGATTTTTACCCCCAAGCCCAGCTGTGGGCAGAACTATTAACTGGAACATCCCCCCAGAGGCATTCTGGTGAAGACCTCCCCAACTTTCCATCACAGGGTAGGGTAGCGATCGCCCTTTTTACAACCTCTGGGCTTCAATTCCCAGAATTCCTGAGTCAGCCGTGCCGGCTGGCTCAGGAATTCTGGGAGTTGAAGTCCAGAAGCCATAAAACATGCTTATTCTTGTCGTATTACCACTGGATTCACGCTTGTCTCCAGCCCAACCAAATCAAGCGAGCCCCACACCAGGGCAGGATGTCTGACTAGCCATGATGAATTCAGAAGTTGTGTAGGTCAGCCAAACCAGCTTTCGCAAAAACAAACAAACAAAAAGAGCCAGCCTAGAAGTGGGCAGGGCCGGTTACACAACCGGGAGTTGCCCAGGATTCGAAGGCTGTTGTGGGCTTTTCTAAATAAAATCAGATGGCGGCCAGGAGGTAGGAGGAGAAAGGAGGAAGAGGAACGGATGAGAAGAGAAAAACCGTGCGTCCTTATTCTCTGCTAGTTGCAGGGAGGACAGCCCCCGCACACGCACACGTTTCACGTGTGCGTACAACATACCTGATCCAATTAGTTTCGTACAAAGTGTTAACTGCGGTCACAAGCTTCCTTTAAAACAAAACAAAAACGTGAGGTGGGTATGCCGGGTTAAGGGTTCGGAAGGAAAAAGAAAGAAGATTGATAGCACGATCAACGTATTTCTCATGATACATTAACTACTTAGACGGTCATCCACCACCGGTTCCCATGTCAAAATGGGCTTTTAAGAGCAAGAAGCAAACATCCCTGTAGATCTCACTGAAATTTGGTGAATGTCTCCCACTGTCCTCATCCATAAACTTGCAATATATATATATATTTATATATTTATATATAGTTTTTTTCTTTAAAGGTACATAAAATCACACTGTAAAATTGCATAATTACTAGAAGAGCCTGTGAACTCATTTTGCACACGGGTTGTTTCAAAATACTGGGAAAGCTCCCCAAAAACGGACAAAAGAAATCATCACCCTGCATTCCGAGAAGAAATGATTTGGGTCGGTTAAAGATGCCACTTCTTCGCCTGGGGGGGAGGAGGAGGGGGGGGGGGCGGGGCGGGGGGGGGGGGGGCTTGGGAGCTAAACGAAAGAGGACAGTGTCCGGAAACACCCCCCGGAAAGGGGTCTCTGGGGGCTTTTGTGAAGTGCAATTCAAGCCACTGGGAGGGGGCTGCTTCCTGCCAGAAGGGACCAACCGTTGAGCAGCCCCCCTCCCCGTCTCTCTCTCACTCGCTCGCCGGCCTCCCAGAAACCAGACTTTATGTGAAGCAGTCAGCAGCTCAGCCACAGGGGGAAAAGCTGGGGAGGGGGCGAGGGGGAGACTGATACATTCGTGGACATTTGGGGTGCTTTGCTCTGCTTGTTCTCCCCGCCGCTTGGGCAGAGCCTGGCATTCCATGGCAAGTGGCATGCACTCCGAGTTAAGAGCCTGGCTGGCAACACACACACACACACCCCTCTCCTCCCTGTTCTTAGGGGGGGTCCCTGAAGCTATCTAACTGGAGAATTCCCCCTCCCCACGCACTCCAGATGCAACGAGACCTGACCAGCATTTCCAGACACTACGTAATACTTGGGTCGAAGGACACCCAACCAGGATGGAAGGATAGGGGAAGGACAGGAGGCCTCCTTCGCCCCCACCCCCTCCCCAAACAGGGACACCCCATCACACACACAACCATGAGACAGATGTGGCCTTTTCACAATGTATTGACTAGTAGATCCCCTTGAGACACCCCCCCCCCCAACCAGGCCTCCTATGTACCCTGCATCAAGCTAACTCCCCGGTTGCCTTTTTTGGGGGGGGGGAGGGGGCACAAACGGGGAGCGTCAAAGAAGGCAGCGACTACTGTCGCCTGCCCCACATGCAAAAACGTCCTCTTTTTGCTAAAATAATCGGATAATCGTGGAAGTGGAACGCGGCCGAGGCAGCCGTGCGAGGTAACTCTGGTTCAGTGGTGCGTGCATCTCTGCCTCCCCTTTCCTCTCTCTTTCTCTCTCTCTCTCTTTCTCTCTCGCTTTCTCTTTCTCTCTCTCTCTCTCGGTCACTCTCCCAGGTTAGCTTACATGCTTACTTCTGTATCTGGAATATAAACAGACGCAGGTTGATGTTCTTGGCGGCCAGGAGTTTGTTACACTCCACAGAGTCTATGATGGGGAGCGGCATGTACTCCGTCTCGTTGTTCTCGTTGGAGAAGGCGAAGTGATAGATGACGGGGTTGATCTTCACGTCGTCGTAGGGACCCTTGAGCAGCAGGAAGGAGCACTCCATGGGCGCGCTGACTTTGCTCTTCAGGATGAGCTGGAAGGAGAGGGTGCGCTTGCACGACAGGTTGGGGTTGCGCTCCGAGTCGTTCACCCGGGCCTTCAAGACCCACGTCTGGTTCAGCACCGTAAACCTCGGCGTTTCGTAGTAAAGGCGAGTGATGAAGTCGTCGGTCCGGTACGGACGAAACTGGACTTCTGCAAGACAGCGAGAAAGGGGGGGGGGCATTGGGGGAGGAGGTGGGGGGAGGGAAGAGAGACAGAAAAAAACAAAAAGGAGAAGCACAATTACACCAGAGGAACTGGAAGCAGGAAGAAACAAAGCTCAAGTTACCTGTGTGGCTACTGCGCGCGTGGCCTTCTTGGGCAGGAGACAAGGGTGAGGGTGGCCATTCAGAGCTAGTGAGGGGCAGGAGCAATTTGGCTGGTGGGGGGGGGAGGAGGAGGAGGAGAAAAGCAGATAAAAATCAATAGGTCTTATCACGGCAAAACCCACAACAACAACAGCAACAACAGTTTCATCGTGGCTCAAGACTGGGGGGGAAGAGAGGAGCCACAGGGAAGCTCGGAGATGGTCAATCCAACCACGGCAGAGGAAAGCAGCCACGGGGCCTCCGCCACAGAAGAACGCCCTTGGCCACGTGACAAGAAGCCAACCCGAGACTTGGGGGACAGGTGAGGTCCAGGTGCAGGATGGGCTGCCAGCCTGCCTTCTCCAGACGGGCAGAAGCTCTCTTCGGTCTTCCGGCCTCATCCGGCTCTTTGCATCCAAGGGGCTGCAGCCTTGGGGTTACCTAGGTGGCCGGCCTCCACAGCCACCAGCCGCCAGCAGGTTTGCCACGGCCCGTGACGCCACAGCCAGGGCCAGGCCTTCCGGGAGAGCCGCTCAGAGGCCTCTTCCAGCGTCCATGCGAGGTTTCTTGGGAGAGCCAAGGGCAGCCGAGGGGATGGCTCCCTCGAGGGAACAGGGCGGACGGCTCTGGAGCCCTTAATGGATATCCCAGACCAAGTGAGGTGATGCAGAAAAACCAAATCAGACAAGTCAGGGAAGGTGGCACCTTTATTTTATTATGCTATTCACAATACACAGTTGAGAAGGCAGAGTTAGGCATCGTCAACAGGCAAAACCAAACTAGGCGGCTTTTTGTGGTCTTTGTGTGTGTGTGTGTGTGTTTTAAACAGGAGGGCAGAACAGCCTGGGGTGGGATACAGGAAGACAAAGAACAGTACACCAAATCATTTCGAAGACTCAAGTTTTAGACCCCCCCCGCCCCCCCCCCCCCCTCCCCAAAAGTAAAAAATAAATAAAAAAAAATCGGTTTAGCCCAAGTCCAGTGTCAAGTCAGTCTCTTAAAACCCCCCGAGAGTCCACCGAGCGTTTTGCGCGATTCGAGTTTATAATCAAGATTGTTGGCCCGGTAATTTTTAAAAGTCTTTGGCGTTCTCTCCCAGCCACACAAACTCAGGGACGGGGGGGGCACCTCTGTGGGCAACTTTGGCTTCGTCGGTGTTTCCAGAGGACCGTTAGGAGGGCACGGCAGCGAAACCTGGACAAAGGAGGCGATGGGAGTTATTCAAGCCACACAATCAGCACTTTTGTTCTCTCCGTGTTAAAGCAGCAGCAGCAGCACCACCTGGCCAGCTAGAGGCTGTCTCTTTGCTAAGCAGAGGAGGGTCTGCGCCTCTCTCTTCTCTCACAGGCAGAGGGGCCGCAGGGTTTGGGGACATCCCCCCCGGGGGTGCCGGGGGGATATCCCCAACCCCTGCTTCCGACTTTCAACCTGGGCAGGCTGCACCCTGCTCCACCAACCCTCCCCGGCCCCTCAGCGCTACCCCATGGGCGCTGCTGGGCGCTGCAGGAGAGCCAGGTCCTCGGGGAGTCCAAATCTGGGCAGCACCAGGATGTCCTCCTTGGATCGCTTCCCACCTACCCCCACACCCACCCACCCACCCCAAAAAACCAGTTCCAGCTCTAGGATCAAGTAGGTTTCAGCAGAGAGAGAGAGAGAGAGAGAGAGAGAGAGAGAGAGAGCTGGTCACCTTTCTTCCCGTTTCCCCTGGACTCCATTTTGTTTCTTTTCTAAGCTCTAAGCACCTTTAACTTGGCTAAGAAACACCCTCGGGGGGGTCTCTGAGGCTCCAGCCTTGCTTGGGTCCGAGAGCGGATTATATCCGAGGAGACTCTTTCTGTAGAAAACGTGACTATTTACAGGGAAAGGGAAGGAGATTTCAGCATCTATTTTCCTCAAGAAACCCCACAGCCATTTACAGAGCCTTTTCCATGCAAGTCTGCGGAACCTGCGTTGAGCCTCCTTGGAGATTCGGAGGAGGAGAGTCCCAAGCTTACCTGTGGAGGCAAATTAAACCGACATGGCTTCCTCCTTCCCCACCTGGTGGTGCATGTACATTTCTGACACGAAACGCATGCAGAGCTTTGTGGGCTGGGTCATGAGAACCAGAAACATTTTTTTTTCATACCAGGAAATGAGACAGGCCACTGCAAACTTTCAGAATGCCTACAGAACACACAACCGACTGAATGAAGCTAGGAATGCTAAAATATTTTCACCCCAAAAGAAAAATGCTTTTTGCACAAAGCTATCGGATGCACACTATTAAAAACGGCAGAATTCCAAACGAGAGAAAACTCAGTTATTTAGTAGGCACAGAAAGAGAGAAAGGAGCAGAACCCACGTGGATTTTCATCGTTAAGTCTGTGGTTTTTCTTCTTCTTCTTCTGTCGGCCATCTCTGACTGCCACATCTTACCTGCATTTAGGAACGATCCTTCCTCCCCGTCTCACCGGTGCTGCAGGGGCGTGATCAGCAGAAGGAAAAACACCCAAGGTCCGCCTGGTTCTCCTTGAGTGGCCTCAATCGGACACACACAGAATTTGCTATTCCCTCCCCCCACCTCCACAACTCCCTCCTGGCCTCTTGGTGTAATATGTGCAGTTAAATATGTGCAACCCCTAAAAATTGGGATTCTCAAGCCAACCAGAGGGAAATCTCCAGGAATCAACATTTGGGGTAGCAGCCCTGTCTGACCAGCTTCTGAACCACAGTTGCTGCATGTTAGGTAAGAGAAATAAGTTAATCCACAGATACCACCGAAATGAGGCGGGAGGAGAAAAACCGAAAGCACAAGAGTCACCCCCATCAGGGCTTGCGTCCCCAGTCATTACCTGTGTAACCGATCTTCTCGAAGCTGAGCAGGCCGAAGATGCTGTTGTAGAGCTGCATTTCCCTTTTATGCGTTTGGTCCATTTCATCCAGGATCTCCATTAGCTCGTTCCCTGTCTTGCTGGGGTGGGTGCACTCCGCTTCGTGGACGGTGAGTTCGTGGTAAGGGCCCTGCCACGGGCACCCAATCCGCTTGTACTTGCACTGAGTCACCCTGCAGATGGAAAGCGGGGCAGGCCTACGATGAGCGGGAAGAAAAGGCCGCACGATGGAGAACGCAGGGGGCCAGAACTGGGACAGGGCAATGCCCGGAGGCACACAAACACCAGAGACTTCCATCGTTTGCCCGGGAGAAAATTTGTTCCGTGAAAGAAACGACATGGCCGTCTAATCCTACCACGGATAAGAGCCAAACGTTCATTTAAACTAAACAGAAGGGACCAAGAAAGGAAGAGAGTATTTGTCGCTGTGGAATAGAACGAATCTGATTTTATTCGTAGAAGCCTCTAAATCCAGGACCACTACATTCCTACGTGCACCTTCTCCTTTCAATCTGGTATACGTTACACAAAGCCAATCTCTCTCTCTCGTCTGTCCTGAACCCGTTGCCGGTTTCGATGGGTGGCCTCCAGCATCAACTAAGACTGCTGTTGGAAACCTCTTAGGCTCCACATTTAAAAGAACCATCAGCAAAAGAGCTGCCCAACTTTGCCCTCTCTTTTCAGAGCCTTCATGGGGTGCGACCATAGGGACGGAAGAATTTTCAAATTCTTTTCTAACGAGGTGAAGGGTAACAGTTGACACATTCACTAGCGTAATTAGGAAAAACTTGCAGGAAACCTTTGATTAGCCCATGGCTGCTCCCCTTATTTATATAATCAAGAAAGATTCTATTAGAACAGGGGCCCAAACTTGGCAAGATTTTTAGACTTCAACTCCCAGAATTCCTCAGCCATAATACAGGGCTCTGCCATATTTGGAGACCCCTGTATTACGAGTATAATATGGGAAGATTTTAATTTTAATTATGCTCTATCTCAATTTAACTATCTTGATCTCTTTCTTTATCAAACACACCACATCCGGCAACCCGCCCTACGGTTCACCTCTGAACAGCTCCCTCGGCATGGATGTCCTTTCCACCAGTACTCCAGGATCTTCCTATTATTCCAGGAAGTCAAGGCGAGAGGCTCTCTTAAAAGGGCAGAGCTCCACTTTCCCAGAATCCCAAGGGGCAGGGTCACCCCCCAGACCAGCTGGGAATCCCAGGAGCTGCATTCTTCCACCATAGCAGAATGGCAAAGGCAGCTTGAGTAGTTCTCGTTCTCTCTCTCTCTCTCTCTCCCTCCCTCCCCCTCTTTTTTTTTTTTTTGCACCATTGTAAAAAGCGACCTGTGCCATTTACCTGTCCTGACATTCTTCTTTCTGGTGTCTCTCCAGAAGAGAACGAGGGAACTGCCTCATGCAGAAGCCACACTCCGAGGGTAGCTCGCTCACTGCTTTTTCCACCGCCAGGTTTCGGCAGCAAAGGCTCTTGCTGATCTCGCAGCGGCAGTTGGGACAGGTAGCCTGCTCCTCCTTCAGCCGGGCATCGGCCAGCAGGTGGATGAAACATCCCGCACACATCAGGTGACCATTTGTACACTGTGGGGGGGGGGGAGGAAAAGCAGAACCTCAGAGGTCTTCTCCAACAGACAGCACGGAAACACACCTGCGTTTTCTCTACCTTCAAACGGTTCATCCCTGCCCCCCCACAGGATTCTCAGGCAGGTGCTGGTATTGATGAAGGAGAAGATTTGTAGCTCAGGGTCGACATGAGGGGTCCTTGGTGGTTTTCTTGCAGATGTTTCGTGGCTGAATTAGGTCAATCATCGGTGACTATGGTCCCTAGTTTGGGTAATGAAGCTTCTGCAAGAAAGCCCCCAAGCTCAGAGACCACCAAAGACCTCTCAGGTGCTGGCATTTTAAAGCTGCATTTGTTTGATAATGGCCTTATTACACCTCTGAAGAGAGTTACAAAAAGAAGGTGGCGCCTCTTCCAGTAAGAAACAGCACGAACAGAGAAATAACTGACAATTCTGCCCACCTCTGCCTAGGCATTTACTGATCACATTCCACATTCTTGCTTTCAATCCCAGAGCCCATGTAAACTCAAGAGGTCAGAATCCGGCGTTTCCAAAAAAACGGGCACTAGAGCAGCACTATATCAACTCTGAAGGCCTTTGCTCAGCCTCTCCAGGAACTGAAGAAGGGGGAGAGATTTTTTTTTACAAGTCATACACAGGACAGATGACGATGGAACATTATTTTGAGGCCCTTATACCAGGGGCCTCCAACCTTGGCAACTTTTAAGACTTGTGGACTTCAAGTCCCAGAGTTCCTCAGCCAGGTTTTGCTGTAGCTTTGCTGGCTGAGGAACTCTGGGAGTTGAAGTCCACAAGTCTTAAAGTTGCCACGGATGGAGACCTCTGCCTTATATGATGAAAACACTGGTCACTTTCAAGGTAGGGAAATGTCAAGGAAAGGCATCCAATCTCTGAGTTACTGTGACTCAACAGGTGAAAATTAATTAAAATTACCCAGGGAAGGCTTCAAAGACAGATCTATTATCTTTTGAATCAAGCCCAACTCCTGGCTTCATGGATACATCCAGGTAGCCTTCTGGTGGACAATATTGAAATGATTTGCTAATGTCTTCTTCTACGATGCTTTTCCAGCCTCCCTTTCTAGCCTATAGCTCTGCTGGGTCTTCCATTTAAGTATCCGTTTTTCAAGAGCAGCCAAAATCACTTATATCCTGCTGTTTAAATACGAAAGTCATGAGCACTGGGGGTGGGGTGGGGGGAGAAACCTTCCAGCTTTACATAGGGTACGAACTGAGCTGCCTGTAGCAAGGCAGAAGAAAAGTGTCAAATCGGCAAATGGAGGGAATTGGCACCCTCAGCACAACATGCATGGATTTTTCCAAACGGTTTGACCTGTACTTTTAAGGATTACTAACTGGTTTAAAAAAAAATACAAAAGCAGACTAGTTAGAGCAGGGGTGTCCAACCTTGGCAACTTTAAGACTTGTGGACTTCAACTCCCAGAAT